TTAGGAGTTTGATGTTCCAGCACCTATAGCAGCCCCTAAACACAATAATAGGTACACAAGCCTTGTTCTTGTTCACACTACAACTGATTTCGCAACACCACGAACCACATAAACATCAATTCAACACTTACTAATCACATGCAAGCCCTCTTACAACCACTCAATAAAAATTGTGCATCACAAGCACCATCACATAGTCATATCTGTTACACCCGGTACAGACCGGTTTAACACCTTTAAGAGGGCACTACACGACCACAAGGAACTCGGCTAGGTCATTGCATTACACTTTACACCACTCGGCCACTTACAGCAGCCCTTACACCACTCGGCAACTTACAGCAGCCCCTACACCATTCGGCTACTGTACTCACAGCCCGTTCTTGGGATTTTCTCCAAGAACTAGGGCAACAATAAACCTAGTTCGCTAGGTTCTGATCAGTACTAGCAGGTTCTTGAAGATTTTCTTACCCAGAAATACCAGTAGCACAAGGAGAAGAAATAACCGACCTTCTTTTGAGAGTCTCGACCAACCATTCATTGCTGAGGTCGTTTTTCTTAATGAAGAAGATTATGCGCAGCAGAGAGAGACGAGCTGAGATGTTTCAGACCTAGGACAAACCAGAAACGAAGAAAGAGAGGTCACGAACACTGCTGAGATGTTTCACGAACTGAAGTAGGTCAGGAACATGGCTCTGATACTATGTTTCGACTGCTGCTACAGTAACCCGAACCAGCAAGAGGAAGAAGAAGAAGAGAAGAAGAAGGAAAAGAAGGGACTGTCGAATCTGATAGGTAAAACCCTATCAGTTGACCCCTTAATAGTAATTAGTCTCTAATAATTTCTACAAAGACTAAACTGCCCTTACTTAAGTGTGGGGCAGAGTGTCTCTAATAAAACTGCCACATAAGCATACAACTTAACAAAGATAAGATGACTAAACTACCCTTATTTGGCTCACTTTAACAATTCATAAAAAAAAAAGTAGATCATATCTGCCAAAAGCCTCCATAATATAAATATCTTTTTTATAAACTTTATCTGGGAAATAGCTAATGTTACATTTCTTCAACAGAACAAAGGATTCAGTGCAGTTATAATATTGTTAAGATCTCTTCTATGGGACACAACAGCTCATATCTTGAATGATCTGCTATTACATTTCCCTTCTTTAATTATTGTTTTAGGATTCCTATCTTCTATTTAGTTTTAAAGGTAGCACTTATTTATTTGGGACAATGATTTTGCAGGGATCTGGGCCATCTTAAAGAACAATGAAATGCTGACTTGGTCAGAGAAAGTACAGTTTGCCATTGGACTTTTGCCTGCAATGATTGGCGGACAGGCTTATGTTGAGGCTCAAGATGGTCTAACTGTTAAAGAGTGGATGAGAAAACAGGTATGGCAGTTAAATTTGTGTCACCATACTTTACTATCCTAGTTTTCAATTTCGATATTGATGGATGTTTTGCTATGCAGAGATGAGGATATTTTGGAAACATTTTGCAAATTTTTCCAAGATATTTGGAAAACATAAAGAAATAAGGGAAATTACTAAAATTGTGGAATTTATTTATAAAACTTCATGGATTATTAGAACTAGTATACTCGCATATTTAAAATTCAAATAACCATAGCAAACATTTACATATATCAAGTAAGAGAAGATTAAGAGGCTTAAGTAGAAATCTTTTATCTCCCTTTTAATCTTCTGTCCTTCTCTTCGTCTATACTCATGTCACTCACTTGACATTTTGACTTTTGTTATTTTTGTTACTAAATGTTTTAATTCATTTGAGAATTCTCTTTTGTACTTGTGTGTCCTTTCTTTTCTTTCTTGAATTATAATTACTTATTAAGTGAATCATATTTAAAATAGCAAGTCAATTATCTAATCACAGAATATTAGGATCCTTAAAGAAAACATTTTTCAAAAAAAAATCAATGATTTCAATGAAATATCGGATAAGTTTTGATAATACTAGTTGTCAATCAGTCCAGCAGGTTTCAGGTTATATAAAAGTGATTAAACAATGTAAAAAAAACAGTCATTAGACGTGAAGCTAGATGAAGAGAGAAGAAAAGGGAAAGAGATGAGAATGGGTGAACAGATTGTGGGGCTCAATGTGAGACTCCATTATCTTTTATAACTACTATAATAATGATAAAATTGCATTCCTACCCTTAGGTGGCAGCACTAAAAAAGATCAATAACAAATAAATAAAAGCCCATGGTACACTTGCTATAGATCCATAACTAATAGCGAATAAAAGACGGCAGAAACATAAACTAAAGAGAACAAAATTTACACTTTTCCACACTCCCTCTCAAGTTGAGAATATGGTCTTGTTCACTTCTCAGTAAGTCATTTACCTAGGCAAATGCACTTATCCGGGCAAGTGTTTCCCAAGAAAACTTACCCAGATAAGTGAACTTACCAGTGTTTTTTTATTCCCAAGRTAAAATTGTATAATGACTGTTTTATCCAGAAAAACGTGACATTATTCGAGGGACAATATTATCCCATCACGTAGTGCAGATGGGTAAGTGATTTACCCAAGTCTGAAGAGGGTATTACTTGCCTAGGTAAATGGGCCGTTCAAGAATCATTCTTTTCTACGGGACCCACTAATACTGAAATACGAACATGGGTTTATTTCTTTTCAGTAGGACCCACCAACTTACCCACTCCCGTTTCCCGGAAAACGAATGAGGCCTATGTCAATCATGCCTAGCTGTTAAATGTGAACCATAGTGCAGCCATAGGAGCTTCTTTAGTGAATATATTTGCTCATTGTTTATCTGTCCTAACAAGTAGAATGCAAACATCACCAAGAACAACCTTTTCGCAGATGAAGTGGCACAATTAACCTCTCTGTCTTTTGTCCTATTATGCTGTACTGGATTGTGTGCAATATTGATAGCAACTTGGATTTCACAGTAAACAGTGGTATCTGAACAGTCATGCCCAAATCTTCTAGTAGAGATCTCTACCACAATGCCCTAGACAATATTTCTACTACAATATTGTTACAAGATGGTTACAGTTTGTTGTAGGACTGTTATTCTGTTCTAACGGTCTGCCACTTGGACTAACTTCTTGCTGACGTGGCTTCTCCCTTTTCTTGTAGACTTGGTATGTAGGCTGGCTGTTCCCATGCACAGGTCTTGGTTTGCCGCAGCTCTTGGTCTTAACAATACCCCCCTGGTTAAGCTGGACCTTGCCCTCAAGGTCAACATGGGGGAACTGGTGTTGCAGTTGTAGATAGGGTTCCCATGTTCCATCCTCTTCCGGCAGCTGTGACCACACAACTAAAGCTTCTGGAACAATGTGGGAGCCTTTCTTGACCCATCTGAAATTAGTGATACGCACCAGCTCTGTTTCTATGTTCATATCACTTGAGGATTTTGGAAGATGTGGTCGAGTTATAGCATCTGGTTTCAAGCATTTTTTGAGAACTGAGACATAGAAGACTGGGTGCACTATTGAATCTGGTGGGAGATCCTATCTGTATGCAAGAGGTCCAATTTTCTCCAAGATCTTGAAGGGTCCAAAGTAGCAAGGTGCCAGCTTGTTCCATCTCTGCTTTTGTACAGAAAGCAACTTGTAGGGGGGCAATTTCAAGTAAACCATATCACCAACCTGATAGTGTACTTCCCTATGATGTTTATCATATGATTGTTTCATCCATTGTTGGGCCAGAGCAGGTTCTGTTTAAGTTCCTGTAGAATGTTGTCTCGATTCAGCAGGTGTTCTTCCAGTGAAGCTACTACTGTCGAACCCTTCTCATAGGGAATCAGTGTGGTGGGTCACGACCATATAATGCCCTAAAAGGGGTCATTCCTGCTGATATCTGATAGGTAGTGTTGTACCACCATTCAGCCCAATGCAACCAGCTGAACCATTGTCTCGGCTTTGTTCTGGTGAAGCATCGTAAATATGTTTCTAAGCAACGATTGACCACCTCTGTTTGCCCATCTAACTGTGGATGGTAGCTTGTGGATTTGCTGAGTGGTACACCTTGGAGGCGAAAAAGTTCTTTCCACAAGAGGCTGATGAAGACTGGATCTGTCAGAAACAATAGACTTTGGGAACCCGTGAAGACGAGCTATTTCCAGCACAAAGTGTCAGATACTGTAGTTTCAGTAAATGGATGTGACAGTGCTAAGAAGTGGCTGTATTTTGTAAGGCGATCAACCACCACTAATATGACTGATTTACCGGCAGAGGTCGGTAGGCCTGTTATAAAATCCATAGAAATATCTTCCCAAACTTGGTTGGGTATGGGTAGTGGTTTTAGCAGGCCAGATGGGGATTGAGCCTCATACTTACATTGTTGACATACCTGGCATGTAGATATGTATTTCCTTGTGGACTTTAGCATACCCTTCCAATAAAATTGGGATGACACTCTCTTATATGTGCGTAGGACTCCTGAGTGTCCACCCATTGGTGTCGCATGGAAGTAATTCATTAGTTGGTCCAAAAGGGCTGAGTCCACTGGTAACACCATTCTACCTTTATAGTACAGCACTAACCCTTGGATAGAATACCCCGGTTTGTCCCCTGGTTGCTCCAACAATTGTGCCTTTATTGTTCCTTATTACTGTCTGCTTCCTCCCTTAATTGGTCCCATAGTGCTGCAGTGGGTTGTTGGAACACTTGCAATTGGAGTATGCTCTCCACTACATGTTTGGGTTAAACGTGACAGTTCATCAGCAACCCTATTTGTTGATCCCGGTTTGTATTCAATAGTGTAATCAAAGCCCATTAACTTTGAGACCCAATGCTGCTGGTCTGGAGAAAGGACCTGTTGTTCCAATAGGAATTTCAGACTTTGGTGATCAGTCTTAATTACAAACTTACGGCCTAGCAGGTAGGGCGCCAATGCATTACTGCTAATACAACTGCCATCAATTCCTGGTTGTAGATTGAAGACTGGTTTTGTGTGGTGGATAATGCCTTACTGAAGAAGGAAAGGGGCTGACCATCTTGCATCAGCACTGCTCCCATGCCCAGTCCGGATATATCGCACTCAACCACAAAAGGTTTGTTGAAATCCGGTAAAGCTAGAGCTGGTGGGATGACACCGCTGCTCTTAAGGCTTCAAATGTTACTTGGGCTTTGTTGTTCCAGCTGAAAGAGTCTTTCTTTAGAAGGGGCTGTCAGTGGTGCTGCAATTATCCCATGGTTTTTAATGAAACGTCGATAGTATCCTGTGAGTCCTAGAAATGCCCAGAGTTCCTTGGTGTTACATGGCGTTGGCCACTGTTGGGTGGCAGCTATCTTGTCCAAATCTGCTGAGACCCTTCCATCTTCCACCACATGGCCCAAATAGTGTACACGGGCCTTCCCAAAGGCGCACTTCGGTTCTTTGGTACTATTGATTTTGTAAGAGAATGTCTAGAGTAATCTGCAAATCCACTAAATGTTGGGCCCATGTAGGGCTGTACACCAAAATGTCATAAAAAAAGACTAATATGAAACGACGTAAATGTGGCCTAAACAAGTCGTTCATTAAGGCTTGGAAGTTTGCCAGGGCATTGGTGAGACCAAGTGGCATAACTCAGAACTCATAGTGGCCATTATGAGTCTGGAAGGCCGTTTTTGGAATGTCACTTTCATGGACTCTGATCTGATGGTATCCAGCCCGCAAATCTAACTTTGAAAAAATGCTCGCAGTCTTGAGTTCATCCAGTAGCTCATCTATTACCAGAATTGGAAAGCGGTCCTTAACGTAATATTATTAAGTGCCCAATAATCCACACAAAATCGCCATGTCCCGTCTTTCCTTTTGACAAGAAGAATGGGTGAAGAAAATGGGCTATGGTTGGGTTGAATAAAATTTTTATCCAACAGTTCTTGAACCTGCCTTTCAATTTCATGTTTTTGAAAATAGGGGTAACGGTAGGGCCTTAAATTGGTAGGAGACGCATCCGGCAATAGTGGGATTCTATGGTCATGACTCCTTGTTGGAGGTAGGTTCGTGGGCTCCTTGAAAACTGCAGCATATTGTTGGAGGATGTTGCGGAGCTGTTGTTTGTAGTCAGCTTGAGTTGTTGTATCCTGGGCCTGGGATAACGTTGGGCCTGTATGATTTGATCCCCAGATGATGAGCTGATTTGGGTCTCGTGTGTTTTTCAACATGGATGCCAAGCTTACTGGGCTGGCTCGGCTAGCTGGTGGCCTTGCAAATGCACTCTTGTTCCTTCTTTCATGAAATCCATAGACAAACAAGCCCAGACGCATAGAACAGGCCCAAGTTGCTGCAACCATTGAATTCCCAATACAATGACGGCCCGACTTAACTCCAGTGGATAAAGATCAACCAAAATTTGTTGATCTTGGATGCATAACCCAGTGTCTGTGCAAATTCCATCGCATTGGAGTGCGGCCCCATTTGCCACATGGACCTTAAATGAGGTTGTGGGCCGAACTGGTAATCCCAATTGTCTGACTAGCACAGTGGCTACAAAGTTTAGAGTGCTACCACTGTCGATCAGGATAGACAGCTGGCGACCCTGAACTAGACCCATCACCCTCATGGTTTGGGGCGATGAAAACCCTCCTAGGGCCTACAACGATATTTCTGGTTGTATGGTCTCAACCCAGTGTTCGTCAGTTGATGGTCCTTCTTCCGGTTGTTGATCCTCTTCTTCTTCCTCAGTCTGTAATAAGAAGGCTTGTTGAGTTTTGCATCTATGACCGGGGACGAACTTTTCTTCGCAGTTGTAGCAGAGACCTTTATCTCGGCGATTTTGCATCTTTGCCCATGTTAATTTCTTGAATGGAATAATGGGGCTCGGGCCTAAGTTACCTAGTGGTTTGCCTAAGATGCTGCCGTCTTTACTGGATCCTATCCCTTCCAATCTAGGGGCAGTAAATGATTTGTTTGTCTACTGCCACGGGAGGTTTAGACGTCGGGCTCGAGCTATCTTTTCTTCTTGGGTGCGGGCTAGGGCTGCCGCGGCCATTACAGTTGATGGGTGCATCGCCTTGACCTCCAACTGAATTTCTTCCTTGAGTCCTCCCACAAAAGCTTCGACCGAAGCCTTCTCTGGCCACCCTTGGACTCTTAAAGATAGACGTTCAAACTCCAATTGGTAGTCACAAACACTTCCTACTTGTTTTATCTTAGCAAGACTCTCATCAAAATCTTTATAACCAAAAGCCCCGAATCGGACACACAAGGCATCTGTGAAGTTGAGCCATGAAATGCGGGGGTGCCCTCGACGATACCACTGATACCATAGGATTGCGTCTCCATCCAGATGCATTGCTGCCAATGCCACCCTGTCTGGTCTGGACGTTTCATTGTATTCAAAGAATCATTCCGCCCTGTATATCCACGAGATGGGGTCTTCGCCTGAGAAAATTGGGAAGCTTAGTTTGGTGTTTCTTTCCAAGGTGTAGCTACTTCTTTGGTTACTTCCTTGGCTAAGCCGATCTTGGTCGATTTCCCTATCTTCTGCTGGTGGGCTCTATTCCAATCTATGCAAGATTTCTGTTAACGTATCCTTGATACCTCGCATCTCGCCTGAAACTCGGTGGAGCTTGACTTCCACCTGATCAACTCGTGCCTCCAAGGCTGTAGATCACGTATTGGTCATGCTCTGATACCAAACTGTTAGGTGCTGCCTAACTCAGGGTTCGTAGAGTGCACTGAGCTCTTGAGGAGAGAGGAAAAACTGAAGGGAAAACAGTTTGTAGTTTGTTCGAATGGAATTCCTGCCTCTTTATTTCTTCCTCTGGTCTTTATAGTCAGGTAAGCTGTTTATAGTTTGCAGTTTGTTACAAGATGGTTATAGTTTGTTGTAGGATTGTTATTCTAATAATATGCCACTTGGACTAACTTCTTGTTGTAGACTTGGTATGTAGGCTGGCTGTTCCCATGCACAGGTCTTGGTTTGCCGTAGCTCTTGGTCTTAACACTTTGAGTGGGTCCAATCAGTTATGGTGGCTATTGGAGGTAGAGGGAAATTAGGCTATGTGATGGGAGGATGTAAAGAAACCAGCCAAGGAAGACCCATTATATGCCAAATGGGTTYAGGAGAACTATTTGGTCATAACTTGGCTGTGCAATTCCATGCAGCTTCATATCATCCGAAATTACTTGTGGGCCAAAATTGTCAAGAAAATTTGGGACATCATGAGAGAAACGTATCCTTAGCCACTTAATGTTGCTAGGGCCTTTGAACTGAAATGTGAAGTCAATAATTTTAAGCAGGGAGAGAAACCAATCTCAGTTTACTTCTCTACTTTGAAGTCTTTGTGGCATGAAATTGATCACCTAGAGATAATTGAGTAAGGTCAGAAGGATGCACAGACATACAGAAAAGGATATTGCTGCTATGAGCCTGTTTCTGGGAAATGGTTTGTTTCTATGGGTGTCACATTCTTTGAGGATGTACCCTATTATCATAGAGCTTCTTCTCAGGGGGAGAGTAGTGGGATGTAGTCTCATTCATCAGAAATTCCATTACCTGTCCCAACCATTGAAGGGGAGTGTAGTGAGGAAGATTGTCAGAGAAGTCGGGATTTGAGGGTGTATCACAGGCAGTGGAGGCAGGTTAATTTTGCTCACCAGCAGTCCAGGCCAACTCCAATTTCCTCTGCAACTCTAGATTCAGGTACCACAGTTCCTTTATCCCCCACTACATATGAGATACCTCTCATGCCTCCCACTATTCAGCCTTATCCTCCTCCTTTGGATGATCTTGATCTTCCAATTGCACTTCRTAAAGGAAAGCGTCGTTGTATTTCTTAGTTTCTATCTTATGATCATTTGTCTTCATCCTATAAGTCTTTCTTGGCATCTATTGCTGTTATTACCATTCCCAAAATAGTGTAGGAAGCCTTGTCAATACCTGAGTGGAAGGATGCAATGAAGGTGGAGATGGATGCTCTTCTAAAGAACAATACTTGGGAGTTAGTTGATCAACCAAAAGGGAAGAAACCGGTTGGGTGTAGATGGGTGTTTACGAGGAAACGTAACGCTGATGGCTCTGTTGGAAGATATAAGGCTAGATTAGTTGCAAAGGGGTTTACACAGACATATGGCATAGACTATTTGGAGACTTTTGCACCAGTAGCCAAGATGAATACTATCAAAGTTTTACTATCCATTGCAGCAAATTTCTCACGGCCATTGTTTCAGATGGATGTCAAAAATGCCTTCCTCAATGGTGATTTACAAGAGAAGGTGTATATGGAATTACCTCCTGGATTCTATAATATAGAAACAGGGAAGAAGGTTTGCTAGTTGAATAAAGCCTTATATGGACTGAAACAATCTCCCAGAGTGTGGTTTGATAGATTTAGACAGGCCCTTGAAAAATTAGGCTATGTACAAGCCCAGTCAGATCACACCCTTTTCATTAAGAAGATGGATTCCTCCTTGACCCTACTTGTTGTATATGTGGATGATATTGTTGTGACAAGGAGTGATACCCATGAGATTGACTCTCTTAAGCAATTGTTTCACCAAGAGTTTGAGGTCAAAGATTTGGGAGAACTACGGTATTTCTTGGGAATTGAGGTAGCATGACCCAAACCTGGGATTTGTCTCCCAAAAGGAAGTATGTTCTCGATATTTTGGAAGAAACTGGGAAGCTAAGTGTTATACCTGCTGACACACCTAGATCTTTTCCTTTGGAGCAAATTGGAAGTATTTATTCTTTCCAGGAACACTTCCCAACAGAAAGCTCCATTTTTTTTTTTTTTTTTTTGGGGGGGGGGGGGGGCATAGGCCTACTCCAGACCTCCTTAACAAGGAAAACTTGCCCTACACTATCTGAGGATTGGGTTAAGAACTTAAGACCTTGAAAAAAGAAACACAGGAAAAAGTACCAATAGGGGGATTGAGTCCAAGTGCAAACTGCATTAGCTTTAACTTCTGCATTTCTACAATCTTTGTCATGTATCTGTTCTTACCTGGAGTTGATTAGGGTTACTTGGCAAACTTATGAAACAAAAAAATTTTCAATTAATTAATTGGTCATCCAACCATTCAATGGACTGAAAATTCTCTTTGACATGCAGAAATATTATTTTCCTTACACCACAATATTTTACTTTTTTTATCAATAACCACAAAATTTTACTTTGATGCATGTATCATGCCACTTGTTGTGATTTGGTTGATAAGCTGATCATGCCAATTCTGGTCATTCTCTGTAATGTTAAAGTTTTCATAAGCTTCCTTGCATCTTATGTTGATTTTATCGTTCTCATTCTTTTTCCCTTCTTTTTGTTGGGGTGGGGGTGGGGTTGTGTTCATGGGGGCTGTATTTCAGGGTATACCAGATAGAGTGACTGATGAGGTGTTTATCGCAATGTCTAAGGCACTAAACTTCATAAATCCAGATGAGCTTTCAATGCAATGCATTCTGATTGCTTTGAATCGGTTTCTTCAGGTTTGTCTTTGTTTATTATTTTATTCAGAATGTTATAAGAAATTATTCAGATTTTAATTGATAGGAAATTGAAGTTAAGGTTATTGTGATTTAATTTATGAAAAGATTTTTGTTGTATACCCAACACCTTTGGGGTGCAAGAGTAATCTGGTTGTTGTACCTTTTGTTTAAAAACATTAATAAAGGTTATTGTGTTGGCACTGCCACATAAGTGATTCACTCTCGAACAAATCACTGATTTCTTGTTCCCTCTTCCTGTTCTTTGATCTTAGAATAACATATTGGAAGACCTACTTTTTTGTGATTGATCATAGACGAGAAGACTTTTGTTTCTTCTTTCTTGGTCATAGGCCAATGATCATTCTTATGGGTGGTCCGGTGTTTTATATTGAGTTTAAATGCATTTGCCTTGCTGATCTGAGTTTCCCAGATCTTAGGGAACTTTTTTCCATGCTGTGTCTTAGGGAAACTGATGTTAAAGGTGAAAGTAACTCATCCATCATTGTCCATAAGTATTTTCACATGCTTGAAGTGTGAGACTTATTATGGGTCAGTCTAGATTTTCTTCCAGTTTATATATTCCTTTGATGCCTCTAATGAATTGTTTGACAGACATGTAACCATGTGCTTTGGTTTGTGTGAGCAAAAAAACCTCCCAATTGACTGTTGTACCTGTTCATGCGGACTGGGTGACTGTTAATAGCAGTGTAGGCTGGTGCTTTTTGATGGAAGTGTAGCCATTACTATGGACTGGGTGATTGTTAACAGCAGCATAGGCTGGTGGTTTGTTGACAGCATAGCAGCCAACCACATATAGATGGGACAAGGCTTAGATGATTATGATATCATTGTAGTATAGTGTTGAGTTGTTTGTGCCAAGAGTTAATTTATGTTCTTGGGTTGTTTATGTTTCAGTTTTATGTTTTTGGGCCTTACAAGACCTATTTTATCCTTCAATTATGTAGCCAACCTCTTGAGGTCCTACTTGTAACCGTACGTGTAATTATGTTAAGTGAATATAACAATGGGAAGGGCTGGATACCAGCTAAGATTCAGACTTCCAAAACCCTTCTTCTCTCTCTCTCCCTCCAACTGCTCTGATATTCTTTTTCTCTTCTTTCCTTCTTGTTTAAATACACTTTCTTACTCCTATTTTATCAACTACTTGGTATCAGAGCAGTTTCTCTCCCTTGTTCTCTTCTTTCAATCCATACACTACTAGGACCAATGGTGTGTATGGAGGGTTAAGTGGCTGATCACTTTCTATTGTTTTCGCCGGGTTGGGAGAAGGTCTAGGAGTCTACAGATTGCTGTCTTTCTTCCCAGAAGAAGTCCCATAGAGTTTTGCCCTGGATCGGAACCAACCTGAGAGAAGAAGACCCATTTCTGTTTACAGCATATAGGAGGTGTTTGAAGTTGGTTTGTGGGATCACTGGTAGGAGCCTTTGCAACTTCTAGTTTCTCCTGAGATCTAGGGTTTATGAAACCCTGTTGGTTGAAGGAAAACTGATTGCACATCAGTTGTTTTAAGGTTATTATACCTCTGTTCCGTTTACAGTGATATTTTTGGTGGGTTTTTGAATCAATGGATTAATCTAGACTTGATTCAGACTCCAAACAGTATATGGAATCCAAGGGTGGTTCAAGTAGGTTGTGGATCAGTTCCTCAATATTGTGACTACGATAAGATTAGATGGGACCAATTACTTAGAATGGTCTTAGCCTATTTGTATTGTTAGAATTAGTTGACAGGAGTATTATTGTCTTTTCCTTGTCATTTTTCTTACTTATGTTTGCTGTAACTTATCTAAGAGCATTGTTGTCATTTCAGCTTTAGTAAATGTTAATACAAGATGGGTCGACAGTAAGGAGAGGAGTGTGAGATTTCTCCTTGCTTGTCTTCCCTCTTTTCTTTTCCTTCTCTTCTCTTTCACTTCTCTTTCTCTTCCCACTTTCTTCCATTTCTTCTTTTTCTCTTTTACTTCCACTTTACTTTTCCTTATTGAAGTTGGAACATGGTATCAGAGCATTGAGGTTGACTGGACTGTTCACGACACTGTTCACGTCTCAACTTTTTGTGCCCTAGGAATAGAGAATATTCTCTATTCTTGGTTGGAAAGGAAAAGGACTCAAGAGGACTAATCGCCCCCTTGGAAAAGAGGCTTTAATTTCTAAAGTTGTGGTGTTGTGTGGTTGGTGGTGCTTTTCTAAAGGTCCTCTATTCTGCAGTTCGAAGAGGGCAGCCTTGTGATGTCTCAAGTTGTGAGATAAGTTCTCAATGTGTAATGATTTTGTGGTGGTTTGTGGTGTGGTATCATCTTGTGGTAAGTGTGTTACCCTTGAGTCTAGCAAGGGAAAATTAGGTTGTCTTCTATGGAGTATGGATTTTGATTATGGATTTTTATAAATATTGAATTACTGATGTTTTCAAGAAATATGGTTATTGGCTATCACAAAGCTTTATAACTTTATATGTGGTTTTTATTTGATTTGGATTCGAAATTTACATATTTTTATATGTCAAGTTTTTTTTTTTTTTTTTTCTTTTCAAAAGTTGCACCTCAAATTGACTCTATGCCATGTTCCAATAGCTGAATAGCTGATTCAGTTTAGAAGTAAAATATAGCTTCTAATAATATGGATAGAAAGACAGTTCTTTCCTTACATAAGAAAGACCCATAATCTTTAACTAGAAATATTATGTGTGTTTGTGTGTATGTGTGTCTGCAATTTTGTTTTGTTTTTTTTTTCTGGATGGAGGATACCTTATCATCATATTATTCATGGATTTATTAACTGAACCATTCTAGTTTTGTTAAAGACGTTAGTTTTTTATATTCAAAGAAATGAGAAAAGGATCTTTTTATTTATCAAACATAAATTGAATTATTTGAAAATTTTCATAAACACATTGACAGGAAAAACATGGTTCTAAGATGGCATTTTTAGATGGCAACCCTCCAGAGAGACTCTGCATGCCTATTGTGGATCATATCCAGTCACTGGGTGGTCAAGTTCAACTTAATTCACGCATACAAAAGATCGAGCTGAACAATGATAAAACTGCTAAGTGTCTTATTCTAGGTAATGGGAATAAAATAGAAGGGGATGCCTATGTATTTGCAACTCCAGGTATGCTTTGGATTGTTTATCTTATTTGTACTTGATTTTTCCTATGACATAAACAGAACTTAGTATTTCTAATATCTGTTCTCTTTGTATCAGTTGATATCCTGAAGCTTCTTATACCTGAAGATTGGAAAGAGCTCCCGTATTTTAGGAGGTTGGCCAAATTAGTTGGAGTTCCAGTTATTAATGTTCACATATGGTGAGTAACAGATTCTTTTGATGTTTGTGTTGGAAATTTTTTGCCCAGCCATAAAATAAATGAAGCCAGGAAAAAGAATTGTTTGCAACATACAAGAAATAAATATAAGAAAAGCAATGGAAAACTGTTTTGTGTAAATGAAAAGTCATTAAAACAAGAAGCAAGTGCCACAAGGCTGCAATAACAGAAAAAGAAAAGACATAACAGAAAACTGGGTATGCCAAATAAGAAGCAGAACTCCATTACAGAAACTACACATTCACTGATGACATGAAAACCCCATACACAGTTCTAACAAGAGCAATGTATAAACAACCAGAAAAAAATTAGTCTGGATCGTCAAGAAACAAGATTGTAAATTTGTCTAGTAACACCCAATCAGAAGTAAACAAAGCAGTTGTTACACATCTGATAACAGTAAAGATTGCTGAGTGTTTATTTTCTGATTTCGTGTTTGCAAATGGTTTAGTCTATATGTGGGGTTATCATTTTATTATTATGTGAGGGCATTTCTCTCTTTTGTATCTATTGGGATTTACCCTTATAGTAATACAATACTTTTACTTACTGTTAGTGTTCAGATTAGAGAGAGGAAGAAGAGAGGAGAAGAAGTTTGAGAGAAATGGGGTGGCAGCACTTTCACAGCCCCTAATCTTATTATTTATAGTAGGATTTTAAAGGTGTACAAAGATAAATCCGCCCCTGATTAGTATGCAGAAAAGAAAGGAAGAAAAAACATATTAGAACAATAGAGGCCCAGGCCCATTAAGCCCAAGAGAGAAGCATAACAGATAGCATCACATAACATAAACAAATAAGGCCCAAGCCCACAAGCTAGGTCTCACAACACTAACTTTCAAAAGAAATTATAAATTCTGATGAGAAGGGGTTAGAGTCCACATTTTTGCTGTCTCAAAAAAAAATTATGAATTCCTTGTTCTATTTTTCTTATTCTTCTTTTCTCTTCTATGACCTATCTTTTTAAGCGTAAAATCATCAACTTGGTGTCAGAGTAAAGAACTAAACCCTCTCCATCAATTGTACACTTCCTAATGTGCTGATGCCATTCCTTCTGCTGACTTTAGCAGACTTTATGGACAGCTTACACACCTGGATGAAGAAACCCTAGTTTGTGATAAAGGTTGATTTTAGAAAAAATTTGGTGCAAGAATAATGATTGTTTTTATTTCAGTTTGGCATTTTTGAGAAGTTTTTCCAGAAAATAAAAAAAAATCACATTTATATCCAAGTGATGTTGCAATCAATTAGAGAATTTTGGGCAAGGTTTGTTGCATCCATCTGAGTTTCCTTACCTTTTAGAATAGATTGACACTTCTCCTGTGTGATTTGGTTGAATATCATGGTTTGGAATGTTGGCGATATTTGGCAGAATTTCCCCATTTTACTAGGTGGTGTGCAGTGACACAAAATTTTCCAAGAATTATTTTTTATTAATATCTCTGATATTTTGCCAATATTTTTAGCAAAATGTTATAATTCATTAACAGACTATATATTTATGGTTTAAAATTTTAGAACATTATTAGAAATATTTTGATATTTCATTAAAATGATCATAATTTTTTAAAAATCTTTTCCTAAAGAAAAAATAGAGAGTTTATTCTTTGCTGATCAAAAAACAAAAAAATAAAAGATCGGCTTACTATTTTGATATGGTTCAATTAATAAGTTACATTAATTCAAAAGAAAAAGCCCTTGTTCTATATATTAGGATTGTGTTCAATTATTGGCTAATACCACTAACTTAGAGACATGACATTATCTGTATATAGATTTAATCTGTTCTCAACCAGTGGATAACTTGGGGAAGTTAGCTTGAGTAGGTTAATGTGCAAATACTACCTTATGAGAAGGGATGGTTTGTTTTTCTTGTCAGAATTATGACCCAAGGTATGAGCATAGATGTTTACAGAAACATTTAATAGGACCCCTTCTATATGACTTCTGGACTTTATGAGAGATTTCTAGGTTGCTATTTATAATCCTCAATCTTGATAATGATATTTAATATTGTTCTGACTTGGTTGCATTTGACATCACGAACCAGTACAGCTCAATTGGGAGATATACTTGAGTATGTTGATGCATTCAGGGAAGGAATGGAGATAAATGATCATTGTGATAGGATCTACTCCTCTGTTTATAGAGAAAATACTCTAGTATGTCTTCTATGATGGATTCCACGAATCCTGTCAACAGGTGATTTCAAATTGGTTTTGACCATTAGGTTTTGCAAAATACATAAGCAACTATATATGTATTAGTTTTTCAAATGATTTGCAAACTGTTTTCTAAGATTCCATCATGGTAGAAGACAAGCATTGAGATCTTATGGGAACAAGTCCTTCCTTGCTGTTGCAGTTCTGAGTTTTATTGGAAGAAGGATCATATTGCAACTTTCAATTACTTGATTGGTGTAAATACCTGTTGAATACCCTCTAGATTGAATTGGCTTCATTGGGCCCTGTGGTGACTCCACCTGACTCAGCTTTAACACAGACTGGTTGATGATCAAGTCAGACTTAGTACAGGGCAAACGGTTTTATAGAAAGGTACAAGGAAATATTGGTGGCACAAAAGTACACATAGATATATAGAATTGACTACCAGGAGACCTTTATGCACGTTGCCAAAATGAACTCTATAAGGGTTCTTTTGTCATTTGCAGCTCATTATTCTTGGATACTCTTTCAAGGAGTTTCAAGGGATTGGGTTACCATACTTCCAGAGTTTGAAGGGATTTCAAGGGACGATCTTGGCTCCAGATTTTGGGTCTTCTTGATCGGAATCAAGTTGATAGTTCTTTTTTGTTTTCTCCTCTTCTGTACAAGTTTTTTGAGGCTATAGTTTTCTCTTGTGGTGATTTCTAACCACCCTAGCTGATGTACTCCTTTTCTTTATTAATAAAACTTATTTTTTATTTACTACAAAAAAAAAAAAAAATTCTTGGCCACCCTTTCAATTGGATATGAAGAATGTATTTTTAAATGGTGACCTACAAGAATTGTACATGCAATTACCTCCAAGATAGAATGACAGAACCAAAGTGTGTAAATTGAAAAAGCCAATTTATGGGCTAAAGCAATCTCCTATGGCATGCTTTAATAGGTCAATGGAGCAATGTCAAAGGTTGGTTTCAAACAATCTTAGGCTAATCACACCTTGTTTCTTCAAAAAGAAGGAAGCTCCCCAATAACTCTTATTGTTTATGTGGATGATATTGTAGTCACTGGAAATAATCAAGAAGACATAAGTAGGAATGAAGAGCTTTCTAGCATCTAAATTTAAGGTTACTAGGAAAACTTTGATACTTCCTAGGAACAGTGGTGGCTTGACCAAGGGAATTTTCATCTGATAGAGGAAGTACACTTTCGACCTTTTTAAGGAGACTAGAAATTTGGGAGTAAATCCAGAAGGTACACCTATAGATCCCAGCCATATGTTGTGTCCTGATCAAAGTGAATTACTTTTAGATGGAGGGGTATCCAGAAACTGGTCAGTAGACATATCTATTAATGTCTAATTAGGCCATACATTGCATAGGTTGGTTTTGTAAGCCAGAACATGCACCAGCCAAGAAAGCCTCATATAGATGTAGCTAAAAGGATCTTGATCTACCTATAAGGGTCATCGAGAAGAAGAATTCTATGTGCAAATCATGGTACTTGTAACATAGTTGTCAAGGCGACAAGGCACCGTTGGAGGCTCGCCTCGCCCAGTCACCAAACAGTTTTATATATTGTCTTATAAAATACTTTTGTATTGTTATTTTGAGATCATAATTATAAAATAGACATTATTAAACAAAAATATGCATTTTTTGTGTTTATAAACTAATTTCATTTTATTATTTTCTTATTTCTTAGGGTTTAATCAACCCAAACATTGCTAACTACTGTATTGAACCCTCATAGATTCAAAATCTGAACTAATAAGGGAAGAACTTAAAATTTTGTCTAATCAACGCATTTCTTCTTCCACATCTTCTTCTTCTTCTTCCACCTTTTCTTTTCTTCTTTTCCTATAACAAAAATAGAGGTTCAGCCCCTATATTTTTTGGATGTTCTTTTCTTTCTTCTTTTTGTTCTCATAAATATGTTGATTTTCTAGACTTAAACATGAAGTTTATAATTTTCTTATGAAAATTATGGATAGTTATTAAGGAAATATGGTTATGGAACCTAAGGAACTACCCTAGGATATGTGGTTTTTACTTAAAAAATCCATCGCCTAGGCGACTAGGTGACGCGACAAGGCGCCCCCCCCCATCACCTAGCCTCACCTTGGCACCTTGAAAAATATGATCTGTAAGTAAAAGCATTTATAGATGCTAATTGGGTAGGTTATATTGATGATAGGCACTCCTAGCTATTGCAACTTTTTTGGAGGAAATTTGGTGTTTGGGGAAGCAAGTTTCAATTGTTGCTAGATCAAGTACATAAGCTAAATATAGGGCAATGGAACATGGTATATCAGAACTGATTTAGTTGAAGAACCTGATGGGAGAGTTAGGAATTGTCTTTCATTCGCCTATGAAGTTGCACTACAACTAGGCTGCAATTAATACTGCACATAATCTGGTCCAACATGATAGGACCAAACACATTGAGGTTGACTAGCATTTCATTAGGGAAAGATGRTTTCTATGGAAGTATATTTACCTTTTGTAAAGTCTAGGAACCATTTGGCTGATGTCTTCACAAAAAGTGTGCATAAGTCTAAGTTAGATTATCTAAACAAGACGGACATGATTAATATCTATGCTTACCTTAAGGGGGAATTTGAAATGTCTTACAGAGTGAAGGTATATTTGTCTATGTAATACGTTTTTTATAATCAAAGGTGTTAGAATGCTCGAGTCAGGGGTATTTTGGTCATTCTGGTTTATCTTCTTGAAAGTGAAAGGTCTATTGTATCCGAGTTTAAGTTATGTGTTCCATCTTCTATGAGGGACAAAATAGTCTTTCTTGTAACTCTAA